AAGAAGAAAAAAAAAACTGCAGAGGGTAGTGGAGACCCACAAACTCACAAAGGGTTTTTTTTTATAGCCCTTTTATCCCATTTATAGCTTTTAGACTCGGAATGCAGGCCCACCATTGCTTCGTTAAATACTTTACATCGTTGCAATAACGGATCTCTATTAAAGTCTTTGTAGGGCACCCATATAGGGTACTACCCTTAAAATAGTCAAAAGTCAAATTCCCTCACTCCCCCAACGAGAAAGAATCTCCAAGGAATTTACATGGTCTAGTTAAATGAAGTCTGTGATTTTCAAAGTTACAAGGAAAATAAAAATATAATTGTTAACGAGAAGAGTGAATCCCTACTTGTAATAAAAGAACAAAAGAAAAAGGAAATTTCATTGGATTGCGATTAGATTGATTAAATTAACCCCCTTGAAGCTAAGGCTGTAAATGGAGGGAATTTACAGCAAACCAGGTGATATCTGTATTTGATTTTGATCGAGAAACTGGTCCATTTGTCGGCAGTCAGAATCAGAATTAAATTTTTTTAGAATTGGAATCAAAATGGTCTATTTACATGATTTGTTCGGTTCAGACAGAAATTAGAATCTGAATCAGAATAAACTTCAATGAAACCTCATTCCCAAAAGGGGAAGGTAGGGTGAGTATAATTCAGTCAAAACCGAAAAATTGAACCAAAATTTTCTGTTTTAATTTTTTATTTGGTTTTTTGGGTTTTGTTTAATTTAGTTTTTGAATAATTCATTTTTTGGTTTTGATTTTTAAAATAAAAAAATTGGTTAACTTAATTAACCGAACTTTGATATATAATATATAATATATTATATTATTTATGTATTAAATAATACAATAAAATTTGCTTCCATAATATTATATATATTATTAAAATTCTATTTTAATCAAAAATTTTGGTTTTGATTTTTCTATAATTCGTTTTTTTTTTAATTTGGTTTTAAAAATTTTACTTTATTCGATTTGATTTTTAACCGAACAAATCAAATGCTCATTCCTAGGGAGAGGGATGCCTATTCTCTAAAAAGGGAGAATGCCATTTCATTGACAAGAAATGGGAATAGGGTTTCAATTCTACCCATGAAACAGTTGAAATCGGAATGGATCCATACCCTGTCCCTGCAAACCAAACGGCCTTTATTCAAATATGACCAATTAAATCGAATATCAGAATCTGAATCAGATGCAATTGATTTTTTACCATGATAGCCTTTATAAAATAAAAAAATGACCTATAATATAATTTTATTAGAGAACAATGCAAGGTATTTAAGTCGTCTCATATGTGTATATTAATGTTTTAATCGGTCCCAATATCGATCACATTGAATCAGGTCCTATCCAAATTTGATCCAAAATCAGATTTTTGGACATCGTTTACACCCCTACCTGAATTCTTGGTTATCACTTAATGAGTTATTTCTAAAGAATTATGAAAAGGCCATGGTAGAAACTGAAAGGAACTCATCTGATAGATAAAACCAAATCAGGTCACAGAGCCAGGATACAATGGAGGGTTGTTTGTGTTAGGTTGATAGCCTGCCTGTGGGCACACTCAAATGAAGAGAGAGACAAAACATTGACGACAAGTCTCAAACAGCCTACCCCCAACTCCCCAAAATACCAGACCATACAGCAGGACGGATCTGCTGTACAAGAGAGTGAACATAATACATATGGCACATATGACTCAACCTTGTACTTTCTTTTAACCTAAATTTCTACGCATGTAGTAGAAAGATTCTTGAGCTGGAATTAAGCAAACAGTCAAACTTAATTTTGCATTCTTCTGCTGATCAACAAATCTGAAAAAGCCTGAAATGTGATTCCGAATCGCCCAGTGAATTTCACAAAAGCTTTAGCATTTCCAGGGTCTCTTGTCTCGAAGCTCTCTCGCTTAATTAATTAATTCAATTACCATGATCTCGAAACAAGAGAATGTGATAAGATAATCATAAGTAAATGATCAAGAAAAAAAAAAGTAGTAAATACAGGGTGAAAAGAGAATTGACATGGGTCCAGTTTCAGAGATCTGTAGGGCCAAGAATCAGGCTGATACTGAAAGAACTTAGAAGATTTTCGTTCGGTTTCTCTTCTTTTACTGGTGGGTATGTTGAAATTGGAGGAAGAATCCAAGTTTGAGAGGATCAAGCCTGCTGTTTCAACTTCCAAGTGTGACACGCTGTGACCCAGAAATTTTCCGCGTTTCTGAACTGAGCACATCAACCAACTAAGAAGGCAAAGAAGTGGGGAAGGGGAAGAGGGATGAGGCCAATTTGTAGAGCAAAATTCCAAAGATGGGCAGCTCACATGGTCCTGTGTTTGTCCCCAGAGACAAATCAGCAGAGTTCGATGCAAACAGCCCATGATGATACTATTCATTCTCGGCCATTCAAGGAAGCCACTAAAGACTAAAGAGGTCAGACTTTGTAGAAAAAGGCAGCACAGAGAGACTGGTTGGTTGCAACAGTAACTCTGTTCCAATAGATTTATTAATTCCCCATCCCAAACAGTGAAATTATAAAGGTGCTCAAAGGTGTGCTCTGCTTTCTCTTTTCATTTCTTTGCAAAAGTGGTTCACAGCTAAACCTCAGTCATAATTACCTTGCAACCAAACAAGAGAGAGAGAGAGAGTTTGAGCCTTGAAATGCTGTCTAGTTGTCTACATTTTTTCCTACCGATCTCTTGATTGAAGAAGATGCCTTCAAAGGTAAATTGCAGGAGATGAATCAAAATAAAACCTGAAGCAAAGCAAAGTGAAACGCAAATATTACCCGGTGGCATGTGAAAGAAGATCTCACAATGAAAATATATAATGGGTCCCACCTAAAACGAAGCCAAGAATCAATACAACAAAGCAGATGTGAACCATTCGATTCTTGTTTGTTACCCTTTTATGGTGGAAATTGAAACCCCAATAGCTGCTTCATGAAAAATTAAATTAAAAAAGGTGAAAAAGTGAAACCCCAGATGATGATTAAAGGGCCCATGATCATGATATCGGCTATGCTGCTCCTCCCTGTACAGGCCCATCTATACTATGCATGTGCTACCTTATTATGTGCTTGATAGCCCTGGTCTTCTGTACTAAAACACATACATTCTTTGTAATTAAGTACTGAAATTAGTGAAATGAATCAATCACAAGTAATCTAAGAGAAATAATGGGGAGAAAAAGGTCACGAGGAGGAGATTCATTCAAGAAGAAGACAGGAATTGTTTATTGCACTATCATAGAAAATGCCAAGAGTTTGGCTTGAAAAGCTGTATAGTCATGGTGTCGCTGCATTGTGCTTGAACCTGACACCACCTATCGAAGCTTACATACAAGTGAAACCAACTAACTGATGAATATGGCCATCGGATTTTGATGTAAAAACTAAACAATCGTAATTCACTCGGCTCAAAATCGAGTTCAATCAAGTTTAAAAGATTAAGGGGGGTGTTCTGCAATGTGAAAATGAATATCATCTTGTTTGAAAACAAATGGGTTCTTAAAAAAAACAGAGAAATTATGTTCTTGGTTGCATATATGTTTCTAAAGTATGAAATGCTTTTTGAAACAAAATCAACTTGTTGTTTTGCTTTTCAAAACAAAAACGCAATTGAAGAACATGTTTTGTTTTGTTTTTCTTTTTTTTTATTGCTGATGAAGTGATTTTAAAAACAAATGACCCCTAAATCAACTTGACAACTCGATTGTAACTGGTAAGATTGGTCTAGGTTAGGGTTGGTTAGCTAGTCCCCATTTGTCTTGAATCTAGCCAGAATTAAGGTTGTCTCCTCCCAAACCCACCGACAGTTTGTTTTGAATTAAGGAACCTACCAACCCAAATGGACCTTTCTGAGTTGGGATGATCAATCCCAATTCCCATCTTTTTTTTAGACAGATTAGATGAGTCATTCTCTTCTACTATTTTAAGATGTTTGATATCATATTCTTCTTTGTAATCAACTATATCTGGAAAGAAAATATCCAATCAGGCCTTGGCTTTTGGGTTGGGGGGACCCCATCGAAAGTGTTGGGCTTCAAATATCAAATCCACTTAATTGATACCCATTCACCGAAAGAATCCCTCGAGCCAGTTCAATGATTTGGATACACCATTGTCAAAGGCATTGTTTGCTCACGCCTCTATATTTAATGAGGGAATATTTAAACTATAGCTTGGGCATTTTCCTGCATTTTGATTTGCTTGGTCATTTTTCTATCATTTCAAACTAAAACAGCGGTCAAGCAGATCCTACCACCCCTTGGCCTTGTGTTAATTTATAATTCATCAATCCCTCACGTTGGCTCATTTTTCATGAGTGAATCCAATTCCCCACACATGCTTCATGTATTTTAGTCCATTAAAAATTTAAAATAGACTAAAATACTTGCAATCAATACTACTTGTTTTTTGTCCTTGACCTTGTCATTGTAGGTTTGACAAATTTTTCAGTGTGGTCTTTTGGGCTTTAGCAAGCTTTGAAGTCCAAAAATTGGTCCTTTTGTTTGATAATTGAAAGTCGGGAAGATCGTTTTTGGCACCAAAAATACCCGAAATGACCCAAATTGATGAATTTCAAGAAACTCCAAACGAAGTTTTTGAATTTTTCTATATATTAAATAACTTTTAAATGTACTTTTAAAAGCCTAATAGATCGAACTATTTATTAAATGATCTTTTTTTCTTTAAAAGACAAAAACAAGAACCAAAAGGTCAACATATCTTTTAATGATCCAAGCTATTGAAAGATCTTTCTAAAACTTTTCAAAGGTCACCATCTATATCAATTTTAAGGACACGTGGCAAAATCCAACAACTGGGATCGCCAATCAACAAAGCCCACTTGTGGCCATGATCATTTGTACACATACGGTTTATTCTCCTATTTTATAACTCTTTTGTAGTCTGTATTCATATTTAATGCAGATAAAACGGAGTTTCATTTTCAATGATTTCCTTCATTATATTAAAACCTCCAACTAAATTCATTATATCTAACGGGAAATAATGAACCCTCCGGTGCCCACCCCCACCACTCCTTTTCAGTTTTCTTCTTTCTCTTTTCCAGTTCTCCTCAACCCAACAGCACAGCTCCCTCTCTTTACTTGGGTTGCGTGCGCCCGTTCGGCGTAGAAAAGAAACCATAATCATCCCTTTCGCTCTTCTCTATTCGCGCTTCTTCACAAGCTAAGCGGAGATGTCCCCAAACCCTCTCCACCGCGGCGTCTTCCTCGCCTTCTTCTTCATTCTCCTTCTCCCCACTCTGCTCGCGCTGCCCCAGCTAGACCCATCTCCGATCCAACCGTTCCTCCCCATCCAGGCTCCTCCATCCACGATCCCAGCCTTCCCCGAGCAATCCGACCTCGCCGGCTGCCCACTGGACCTCCCCGACGAGCTTTTCCACGGCGTGCGTACCGCCTGTGGCGGGAATGCCAACAACGGGCATCCTTCGGGGCTGAAACGAAGCCGGTGCTGCCCGGTTCTAGCTGCCTGGCTCTACTTTGGCTATTCTGCCACGGCGCTGGGCCGGGCTGCCAGAATGCCCGCCGAGCGGTACGACCTGCCCCTTCTGCCCGATGACTCGGAGACCTGCGTGGGCAACCTGGAAAATGCGTTTAAGGGCAAGGGCATTGAGCTGTTCCGGCCAAACGAGACTTGTGATTTGGTGTATTGCTACTGTGGTATAAGGCTCCGGCCATGGAGCTGCCCTGAGGCGTTTTCAGTGTCCAAGGAAGGCAAGCTGGTTGCAGGCAACACTGTAAAGAAGCTTGAAAAGGATTGCTTCAACGTCAATGGCTACACTAGTCTTTCTGGGTGCTCCAAGTGCTTGAATAGACTCTACCAGGTAAGCTCAAATTTCCTTCTTTTACACTTTCTCATTGTTCGTTTGCTACTCTGTTGGTGAACAGAGAAGAACAAGAAGATTACGCCATTTCAGCTTCTTGACTCCTCCTCTCAGTTCTCTTCCATTTCCATCCCTTGGCTGATAATTGGGAAAGTTTTTTTGACCTTTTTTTTTCTACGGTATGACTGCACGTTAGTTTTCATTGTTCACTTCCCCTTTAAAACTGTAACTCTGCGTGTAGGACCCCGAGTACGGAGCATCAGCCAATATAGCTTGTTAGTGGACCCATCTTTTCCGTGATGGGCTCTAAAGCCTCTAGCCCAAATTCCATGTCTGTCCAAACGGGGTCCTGTATTTGTTGTTTGGAGTTGGAGCTAGCAGAGATTGCCTGAACGGTTGGGTCCTGGGGCTTTCAAGTAGGACCCACCAAAGACTGGACCCTTTGTGGGCCATCCAAATGTCATCTGCTTCACATGCTGGACGATCCTAGCCATACGTTGTCACCTGCTAACGTTCTGTTTTTTCTACCCGACTGCAGCTTAACGAGGAGAAGGCCGGGAATTCCAGTAAGCCAGTGATAGACAGAAAGAGCAAAATGCACAACAGAGACTGCGAGCTCATGGGTCTGACGTGGCTGCTGTCTAAGAATCGGACAGCCTACATTTCTACGGTATCCGCGGTACTGCGAGTTCTGATGATGAATACAGAGGGGTCTGATCCCCGGTCGTGTACTCTGAACAGTGATGGGATGCCCTTGGCCGTCGATTCATCTGAACTGGACGATCCGTCTTCAGCCAACATCCTTCCGTATCCCCTCGGGCTCACCATCTTGTCGCTTTCCTTGGCTTATTATGTTTGTATCTTCTTAACCTCTCGGTTTTAGTTTTTTTTTTTTTCATTTTAATAGTTTAGGGTGGAGACTCATTCACTTGATCTGTAATTTTGTCGCTTTCCTCTTCTCTGTACCAATCATCTGGACACAATTGTAATTTGAAATTTTCTCCTTCTTTGTCGTTTGTTGAGAGTAGAAACGTGATTATGAATGAAACAACCCGTTAGTCTTTGGGTTTTATTTGACTAGAAAAAATCAAGATTACAATAAAATAACTTTTAAATATTTTTATTTGTAAATATAAATAAATAAATTTATAATTGAGTTTCATAATATAATTTATTTATAATATTTTTCAATATTAATTTATTTATCACAAGTATCGATTTGAGTCAAATGCAAGTAAGAGACTTTGAGTTCAGATTGGCGCTTCACAAAATCCAGTGAGGTTGCGCGTTCTGTGGGTCACCGATGCAAATTCTTTTTTTTTTTTTTCTTCTTTTGATAATGTTTGGAGTTCTGAATTTTCGAGTGGAACTGGATTGGGCTCAAGCAGCCCAATACTGAACTTGATTACACCCCTAATATGGGGTGGGGAATTTTGGTTGTCTATGGTTGACGGCCTTACTTGGGCTGTCGAGAGGGTTCTCCCTCCATGACATGACACGTTAGTTTAGACTTCAAACAAACTCCTTATGATAGACATATCGCTGATGGTTAAAAGTGTCATGCAGAGAGAGCGCCCTATTGAGTATTAACAGCCCAGGCTGTGTATTGTGGACAGTTTTTTTTCCTGTTTTTGTAGTATTGTTGGTGGTCTTCATGGCTCATCCGAACAGTGCCTAAGCTTTACGGGGGATTATGGAATGCCAAACGACGCAAACCTCATGAGTCCATGAGACTTCCTCAAGTATTATTGTGGTTGAATGGAATTAAGGGAAAGATGACTTGGATCACATACTATTTATGATGGGTATGGTCCATGACAATACCTGCCAACCCCCAACTAGCCGATCCATGAGATGTTCTTGATCTAGGAGACGGAACTGTGACACGTGGCAATAATATTTGATCTGACGGATGCCGGGATGAGAATGCTTAGTCAAAAAAAAATAATGGATCAACATGTGGTGATGTGGGGATATTCAGTTTGTGAATTGAAGGAGATGAAGGGCCAGAAGCCAGCTGTGAGGTAACCAAGTTGGGCTGGACCGTGTTGTTTTTGTCGTGCCTGGCTGAGGGGGAGGCACACACATGGTAAACAGTGACCACAAACACGATCTTTTACCCAACTGCCAAGATAGATGAGACCGTGGGGCCTTCTTTGTCTCTCTTGTGTTAACTGCAATTGCACTCCTATGAGGAAGGTTCCTTAAATGGGTCCCCTACTCCCCTACAGGGTTGTCAATCAGTCGGGTTCAGAACCCGGAATCAATCCAATTTACTCGAACACGAACCCGATTAAATGGAAGAGGATTATCAAATCCAACCCTGCCCCGTTTCTTAGTTGAGGCTATTTTAGCAAGGTACCAACCATGAACCAGCTGGTTTGTAAGATTTTCTTTTGGTCTTTGGAATTGAATCTTGGGAGTTGCGGATTTTTTCAATGTGTTATATCAATGGGTAAGGTGGCGTCAATTAGGCCTCTCAATGATACGTGAAAATTTGAGGCCCAATCCAACATCTGATCCAATTATATTATAATATTTATTGATTTTAATATATATAGTTTATATATTTAGATTTAAAATTATAAAAAATATATATATTTTTTATATATTATATTATATATGAATTTATATATATAATAAATTCAGTATGTATATTTACATTAATTAATTTATTATATATATAGGTTGAAAAATAATTATTTTTTATTTTTTATTTTAAAAAATTAAGGAGAAATCAGATTAAATCCAAATCCGATCTGAGCCTGTTAGTATTCAAATTCGAATTCGAGGTCTTTAAATCCAACCGGATCTGGATAAAAGCTTTCCATAATCAGATTGGAATCCGATTTTGCTGAATCTAATATGAATCCGATCCGATTACAGCCCTAGTGTCAACCGGTCTCAACCCGAAAATCAACCTAAAACATCCAATCTAACACCACTTAACCTGACTCACTGACAATCTGACATCTCGATTCATCGACATGTTGCAAGCCATGGATCAGTAATCATGTGGAGGGATGATTTGCCTAGATCTGTGAAGGGCCCATTTGATTCGTGGGGAATAGGGGTTTAGAATTGGAATCTAAATAAGTCATTATAATTTCAATTTTCTGATTCCAACTGTTTAGTTGTGCATAATCGAAATTCCATTCCCGTTCCTGATAGAATTCTCCCATTTAAGGGAATGGCCCATCCATTCCAAACTTTTTTCAACTGCAAATCATACGGGCCTGAAAACAGTATCAGATCAGTAACGCTTTGAAGGATGTTTTACATAGACTAAATTTTATTGAATTCCAAGCTAATGCTTTTTTTTATGGAAAAGTACGGACAAGCCTAATGCAAATTTCTGAGTTCCCCTGCAAATTTATAAACATTCAAAAGGTCAAAAACCCACACTCTATACACCTATACCTGCCCGTGGCATCAATTCCAAGCTGGCACCTACCCCAACTATACTTTGGGCCTATAAATTCTGACCCTGGGCTGAAGGGTCATTCTCCCATTTTTTATATAAATAGCTTACCATGCTGAGTTGGTGGCTATGTGGCACCATTTTTCTGGAAAACAATAATGATACCAAACATCACCGAGATGATTAACCTAACTAATACAAGTTCAACTTTGTGAAAGGGTCTCTAGGTAGGCAAACCATGGTTTCTCATTCTTATTCTTAGTACCTCTATGTTTAATCACAAAATCAATTTTGTATTTACTGAGAATCACTTATGAATTAGATTAAAGAGAATTTGGTATTACATTTAACCATTCCTAGGGATAGAACAACTTGATATGAAGATAAGCAAAATTGATAATTAAATATCATTGCCAGCCAAATTAAGGACCTGATAATCTAGACTGACCTTAACAAGTGTGCAATAGGGAATTATGGATAAACCAAGAAAAACAATGGCTAATGTAGTCTAATAACTAAACAGGAATTAGCATAATCTCCTGTTATAAACCCCAAACAGAAAACGATCTGGCATTTTGTAAAAATAAAAAATTAAAAAAAAATTATAGGGTAGTGTTTGTTAAGTGCTGAAATAGGCATTCGAAGTAGAATGTGGGAAAGATTCCAAATTAAAAACACCCCTTTTCAACATTCAATGATTCACCACTAGCGGAATGATGAAGCATGGACATTGGGGGTGATTTCTTTATTAGCCCATTTAGGAATAATTTGGATTATCTGAATGCTTTAGTTGTATTGTTGACCAAACTATGGGATCAATATTCAATGATAACGTTTTAAGTAGGGGTGGCTACAAGCAGAGCTTTTCACGAGTTATTCGAGTTGGGCTCATTAAAAGCTCAATTCGATTCGGTCTAAACCAAGCTCAAGTCCAATAAAACTCTGCTCATGAGGCTTGTGAGCCTAATCGAGCTTTTACATACATGCATACATACATACATACAGATTATACATATAAAAAAATAATACATATATAATATTTTTATTATATATATATAACAATAATAAATATTTTTATAATTTTTTATATTTTCAGACAAATAAAAAATAATTATATATACAATTTTTATTTTTATAAAATGTTTGACTCATAGTCAAGCTCGAACTTAAAAGCTTTTACTCGAGCCAAATTCAAGCTCAAATCTTTAGCTTGAGCCTCATAGTTTATTGGCAAGCCAAGCTCAAATAGCTAGATATTCAACTCAGCTATGCTTGAATCCACCTCTAGTTCCAAGCCAGTGATAACATACATGGGACCCCACACTAAGAGGTTGAGTGGTTGTAGAACCTATGTATTTTATAACTGACGTGGAGTGTTATTATTGGTTCCACAACCTGCTCAACAGCTAAAGCATTCAACTAATCCTATCTCGTTTAGGAGGGGCTTCTGTGTTGACTGAGTGTGGCTTTGGAGAAGCTATCCAAAGTAACTTCATTGAAAGGTTGATTTTTCAACTCATGGTAGTGTTTTTTGGCTTTCTGGAGTTTCATGAAACATAGTTTCCTAGCTTTCCATGTAGGGTTTACCTTGTGAATTACAATGCTAGAAGCCAATGCAGGAAAGCCCTCCCAAACAAGCACTAAAGTTTTATCATATACCAATAGTAATACTAGATTTGAACTGATTTTATAATTGGAATCTTTTCCACATTCCATGTTCAATGCCTATTTCAAGAGTTCTCGTACACCACCTCATGTGCTGGACCAAACTAAATCAATGTTAGACACCTTGATTTATGCATTTAACTTACTTATTACCCCATAGCTACCGCATTGGATCATTTTCTTCAAATATAAAAAGATTTTTAGTTAAATTCGCAAACACTCCATCATGTTGCAAAACAATTGAAAGGAATTGAGTACAGCTCCTAAGAACAATTGCATTGAATTGTGCTTGTTACCATGAGGAAGTAGATTGAACCAGCCATTTTCTTAATATTCCAAGTCCTCACCTAAGTATAATTCTCGACTAGATTAGGTTGAATTTGGGGTCGATTCAATCCGAGTTGAGCTGAATGCTTGGCTATTCAAACTCAGATCATAGAAATAGTGTTAGGCTCGAGTTCGATTCAAGCTAGAGATTTGAGCTCGAGCTCAACTCAATTCAAAAGCTCGCAAGTTCAAGCTCATCTTAGCTCATGCTCAACTACAAGCCAAGCTTTTTCTAAAAAAAATAAAAATTATACATATAAAAATATTTTTTATTCTATATACAAAAAATTATTTATTGTTATACATAAAAAATAAAAATATTATTTTATATATATATATATATATAATAAAAATTAGTTTATATATATTTATATGCATGTATGTATTATTATTATTATTATAATAAAAATTATTTATTTATTATACTGGGCTCGATTAGGCTAACAAGCCTCATGAGTCGAGCTTCACTGGCTCGAGCTTGGCTCGATTAGCAAACGAGCCTATATATCAAGCTCGAAGCTTAGTTTAAATCGAGGCAAGCCGAGCTTGAATAGCTTGTGAGAAACCGAGCTCGTGGCCACCCCTAGTTGAATTTCCAACCCAATCACAACCCTAACCAAAAAGCTAGCATATATTACACCTTAGATCATATTGGGATT